GCGGAGCATACAGAACAGAGCATACCATGACACATCAGAACCTACCATATCATAACTTAATGCACCATAACAACATTCCACAATATAGCACAACATAGCACTTGCCAGGCAGCTCGTCGGCACCACTCTCTGGGCCGCTGTGCGGTTGCCCCTCCTTTCGCGCCTCCCAGTGGGCAACTGGGCTTCAGCCTTGCAGGCATCCTGTACATGGGATCCGTAACAATGAATCCTCGACAATGCGTCTGAATCCGTCTTCTGTGAATCCTCACCCGGGGCTGGATGCGGATGCAGACTGGCTCTATGCAACGCATACCATCACACAACGGAGCGTAGTAGAGTGCAGCATCACAGTTCGTAACAGAACATACTTCAAGTGTTTCATTATTGCTATCACGACGGCAACGAATGCAGTCTGCCATCAGGGTGCTTTGACATAACAGAACGAAGTACCATATAATGAGTATGATACATTGCAGACAGCAAGCCATACTACAACTGTTGTATGACTGCTACCACTACGACAGCGAACGTGCTATAGCTGTATATATAACCAAGAGTTTAATAGGGTTGGCATGCCCTGGACATAACATGACATCACATACTGACCATGCTATCGCGTTGCCAGCTTTCCAGACCATATCATACCATAAGAGCACAACATCTCATACCAACTCATCTTTATGGCAGAGCTGATCTTAACACAGTATATTGCGAAGGCCTTACGGCCGGTGCCGCCGACCCTGTTCGCAATGCGCAGCAAGAGGCACGGGCTGTGGGATGGTTTTGGGGAACGGGGAGAAGGGCGATCAGGTGGGGGAGGGAGGTGTCGTATCTGACCCGGGACTTCCCCGGGACTCCCCCGGGACCCCCCCCGGGACCCCTCTCCCCTCCCCGTCGGGGAAGGGAAAGGGAAGGGGCTTCCCTTCGACTCAATTACGACGTTGCTCAAGGTCGGTACGGGGGGGGGGCGTCGTATCTGACCCGGGACTCCCCCGGGACCCCCCCCGGGACCCCCTCTCCCCCCCCCGTCGGGGAAGGTAAAGGGAAGGGCTTCCCTTCGACTCCATTACGACGTTGCTCAAGGTCGGTACGGGGGGGGGGCGTCGTATCTGCCCGGGACCCCCCCCGGGACCCCCCCTCCCCCCCCCGTCGGGGAAGGGAAAGGGAAGGGGCTTCCCTTCGACTCAATTACGACGTTGCTCAAGGTCGGTACGGGGGGGGGGCGTCGTATCTGACCCGGGACTCCCCCGGGACCCCCCCCGGGACCCCCCCTCCCCCCCCCGTCGGGGAAGGGAAAGGGAAGGGGCTTCCCTTCGACTCAATTACGACGTTGCTCAAGGTCGGTACGGGGGGGGGGCGTCGTATCTGACCCGGGACTCCCCCGGGACCCCCCCCGGGACCCCCCCTCCCCCCCCCGTCGGGGAAGGGAAAGGGAAGGGGCTTCCCTTCGACTCAATTACGACGTTGCTCAAGGTCGGTACGGGGGGGCCGTCGTATCTGACCCGGGACTCCCCCGGGACCCCCCCCGGGACCCCCCCTCCCCCCCCCGTCGGGGAAGGGAAAGGGAAGGGGCTTCCCTTCGAATCAATTACGACGTTGCTGAAGGTCGGTTTGGCTAGCGCGCTTGAGGAGGAGGCCCTGGGAAAGGGCGAGGGGAGCGGGGAGGAGCCCAGGGGAAGAGGGGTACCAGGGAAAGGGAACGACAGAGACGACGATTACAAAGAATGACGGAGATGACGGCTCGAACGGAAAAGCCCCTCACACACGCCGACAGGGTCGGCGGATTTAACACATGGGAATGGCTCACCACCAACGCGACGTACTCGCCGAGGTTAGGGTGGCCAAAGGAACACACAGGCGCAGCAACGACCGATTGGACTACGTATCTGACGTGACAGGCGCCACGACGTAACGCCGGCCCACTCAGAGCAGACCACATCGGAGCCCAATACAGCAGAACAATTAAGAGTATGAACATACCATGGTTGCATATTGTGACATACAGCAAAGACCGATTGATCGGGCCCTGTCGAACGCAGCAGCCACGCCGACGTAATGCTGGCCACAGGACAAACACAGGCGCAGTAACGACCGGTTCGATGACACATCCAACGTGATTGGCGTCGCGACGTCACGCCGTTCCGTCGAGACCAGAACACAGGAATCAGATGGAACAGAAACGAACATAACACTGCATATGATAATACAGCATCTACCAAGTATTGCCGTCCTATCATGCGCGACATGCGCGCCGAGCCCACGCCGGCCCTTCCAGAATGTACCGTAACATAGCATAACACAACACAACATAATGCCATCAATTGTGCTGGGGCAGAATCCAAGCGACCATACTATAGCACAGTATTTGCAAGCAGACATCAACGCACAGCGCTTGCTCAAGTCATAAAATAATCGAACGTACAATCTATAGTCAAACGCGACGTGCGCGCCGAGATCATGTTGGTCACATGAACAAGCAGGCGCAGCAATGACCTCTGGGACCGCGTGCTTAACGTGACATGGATCACGACGTTATGCCGTCCATTCAAAAGCAACACCGGCCACAGTAGAACAGATTGTATCGAGATAATATGACATTTAATTGAATACGGCTAAATTCAGCAACGTTAGATTAATGGCGCCCTGTCAAACGCACCGTCCGCGTCGACGTAAGGCTGGCCACAGAACAAGCACAGGCGCAGCAATTACCGATTAGATGTCACGCCGCCCCGTCGAGATCAGAACAGAACAACCAGATTTGCATTGAACAGAACAACTCCGAATCGAACGCGACAGCGTACACTGCAGCAGCGACCGGATAATGGCGCCTCAGTGAAAGCGGCACGCGGGCCGAGCCCGCGCTGGCCCGCGCTGGCCCGAGCCCGAGCCGCGCGGGCCGAGCTCGCGCTGGGCCGATCTGGGAACAAACGCCAACAGTTTCGGTGGGGATCCTTTGAGGCAAAGTAATCATTACGTGCTCGCTTCTTCCAAGCAGGCCCCGCGGAGGCCCCCAGAAGAGCCCACGGAGGCCCCGCGCGGCCCTCGGGCTCAAGATGCCCCGCGAGGCCAGGAGACCCCACAGTGCTCACGGGTGATCCCAGGAGCCCCCAGCAGGCCCCATGTGATGGGCGTGTTTTCCACCACCACCATACGTTCGGCGAGGGGGTCCTCCTCCTCCTCCTCCTCTTCGTCGTCCTCCTCCTCCTCGCCCTCCTCCTCCTTCCCTCGTCCAACTTATGTTGGTGGTGGTGATGGAAAACAGGCTCATCACCATGAGCTCCCGCTTGGACGTCCACCCGCAGCGCGCGACCTGGCCCCTGTGAGCGGCCCTCGACTCTCGCCGCTGCGCGCCAGACCTCGCAGCTCAGGGGGTCGGAGATCAGGAGCAGCGTTGGGGGGCGACACGCTCGGGGGTGCGGGGGGCCCGATCGCCCACTCGTCGCCGATTGGGGCCCCGCGCACCCACTGCGCCCACGCACGCGCGGATTCGCTGTCGGGGGCCCATCGCCGATTGTCGGCGATGTATCGCCGTTTCCACGTTGATGCTCCGCCCCCCTGAGCCAGCCCCTCCCGAACGTTCCGCCTCGAGCGATGGACGTCTTCGGGGGGTCGTCGAGGTGGTTTGGGGTTCAAGGAAGCGTTGGGGGAGCAGAGGGAGGAAGAGGGAGGAGGAGGAGACGGAAGAGGAGGAGGAGGAGGAGGAGGAGAAGGAGGAGAAGGAATAAAGGGAGGAGGAGGAGGAGGAGGAGGAGGAGGGGGAGGAGGAGGAGGGGAGGAGGAGGAAGAGGAGGAGGAGGAGGAGGTGGAGGAGGACAATGAACAGGATAAGTAGGAGGAAGAGGATGAAGAGGATGAGAGAGGAGGAAGAGGAGGAGGAGGAGGAGGAGGAGACGGAGGAGGAGGAGGAGAAGGAGCAGGAGTAGGAGACGGAGGAGGAGGAGGAGGAGGAGAAGGAGGAGGAGGATGAGAAGGAGGAGGAGGAGGAGGAGGAGGAGAAGAGGGCGCCCCGCCTCGGTTCGGCTGCGCGAGGGCGCGGAGGTGGCCCCGTGTCGCGACACGCGACACGCGGCGCGCGGCGCGTGGTGCGGGTGCACATCGTGCCCTCCCCGTTCGACGACGACGCCGGCGCCGACGACGACGACGCCGCCGCCGACGACGACGACGGCGCCGACGACGACGACGCCACGCGCCGCCGCCGACACGCCGGCGCCGACGCCGACGCCGTCGTTTTCGCCGACGCCGACGCCGAAGCCGACGACGCCGCCGCCGCCGAGGCCGACGACGACGTCGCCGACGCCACCGCCGACGACGACGACGCCGCCACCGCCGCCGCCGCCGACCACGACGACGACGATGACGACGACGAAGACGCCGACGACGCCGACGCCGACGCCGACGCCAGCGCCGACGCCGACGCCGACGCCGACGCCAGCGCCGAAGCCGACGCCGCCGCCGACGACGACGACGACGGCCGGCGGCGCCACACCGCACGCCACCTCTCCACCGCCAACCGTGCGCACCGAACCTGAGCTCTATTTAGGATGAGCGTCGCCAGGATCGGCGCTGGCGCACAGTCGGCACGCCTCCGAGCGGCGTCGGCCCGAGGTTGGGCGACCCGATTGGGTGGCCTTGGGCATTCCAACAGCGGCGTCGGCGTCGTCGGCGTCGGCAGCGGCAGCGGCGTCGGCGTCGGCGTCCGCGTCGTCGTCGTCGTCGTCGTCAGCGTCGGCGTCGGCGTCGGCGTAGGCTTCGGCGTCGGCGTCGGCGGCGTCGGCGGCGTCGGCGTCGGCGTCGGCGTCGGCGTTCTCGCCGTCCTCGCCGTCGACGTCGTTTCTTCGTCGTCGACGCCAACGTCGACGTCGCCGCCATCGCAGCGGTCGCCGCCGCCGCCATCGTCGTCGTCGTCGTCCTCGTCCTCGTCCTCGTCCTCGTTCTCGCCCTCGTCCTCGGGCCACGGCCTGCTGCATTGCCCCAGTCAAGCCGCCCCGCCCCTGCGCCAGCGTGCTCGCCGCCGCCAACCCGCGCTTCGGCACGTACGACGACCTCCAGAGCACTGCGGACCAGATGGACTTCGAGACGTGCTTGGCCCAGCGGGCCTCTCCTCTTCCAGGGCAGGGACGTGGGCGTCGTCCCCAGACACCCCCTCGTCGTCGAGAACCGAAGACGGGCGGTTTGGGACTGGCTTTCGGCTTCCGGGGGCCCTCTCCGAGCTCCCATCCTCTCGTGTCCTCGTCCTCCTTCTTTTTTCCCCCGCCCGCCGCCGACGACGACGCCGACGCCAACGACGACGGCGCCGACGCCGAAGCCGACGCCGACGCCGACGCCGACGCCGCCGCCGACGCCCACGCCGCCGCCGACGCCGCCCACGCCGCCGCCGACGCCGCCGCCGACGCCGCCGCCGCCGCCGACGACGACGAAGACGCCGACGACGCCGACGCCGACGCCGACGCCGACGCCTCCCCCTGCGCCAACGCCATCACCTGCCCGAGGCTGGAGCGAATAATACCTCTCTCCACTCGCGCGGCCCCTCTGTGACCCGCGCCCGCCGCGAACCTCGCCGCCCGTACCACTAAGTCGGGAGTGTCCCTCTACAGGGGGGATATTCAAAAATAGTTAAGGAAATCGTCTGGGGACTATTTTTGATTATTTTTTGACTATCTGGAGCTCTTGTTTTTTAAATTGTTTTTGTTGTTTTCATTTTTCGCTTAAATCCGCCTGTAGGGGGACCCGCACGACCTAACCGTACCCTTCCCTCTCCGCCATGTTCCGCGCACTCTTCCTCCCTCGCCCTCCCAATCCTCCTTCACACGTTGTTCTGCCCATCCACTCAGATTTCGTTTGAAGCGGTTAGAGCCCGTCCTAAAACGACCGGCAGAATGAGACAGTATATCCGAAGTCGGAGCGAGACAAGCCGAGTGGCGCGACGGAGCTCTCTTCTCCGGCGCTCGAGAGCTCGTCGAGGGCCCTGCCGAGATCCGAGCGTTCACCGCATCAAGGGCTGCCGGCTGCGAACTGGCAGCGGCGGGCCCGCAGAGGGCAGCTACACACCACCAGTACCTGCCCAGGGTCACTCTTGGCCCCAGGGCTGGACCTAAATGGTGTTTTGGCGATGTCGTGGGCCGTTTTCGTTTCGATGTCGTTCTGCGTTAAAGGCGGACTGAAGACAAAAATACCCTGGCGACGTACCCAACCCCTGCGCAAACGCGGGGCGCAAATCGTTTAGGACACTTTATGAAGGGGGCGATGACGGTACGAGGGTTACATGTGTCTGCAGACGGAATTCGGGACACTCGCAGGACACTGGCTACAGGACAAGGACTAGATAAAGCTGATTAGCTACAATCCCTGAGCAACCCTAGCCACTTCGAAGGCGAGGATCTCAGATCGCATCCCCCCAGGGATGGCGAGGTCTAATTTGGCTCCGCGCGTGGCGACACTGTGCTGGGCCCCCCCCAGCAGGCCTCGAAAGTGGCGACAGTTTTACAGATCGCAACCCCCCAGGGATGGCGAGGTCTAAGTTGAATCTGCGTGTGGCGTCATTGTGCTGGGCCCCCCAGCAGGCCTCGAAAGTGGCGACAGTTTCACAGATCGCAACCCCCCCAGGGATGGCGAGGTCTAACTTGAATCTGCGTGTGGCGTCACTGTGCTGCCCCCCCCCCCAGCAGGCCTCGAAAATGGCGACAGCTTCACAGATCGCAGCCCCCCCAGGGATGGCGAGGTCTAATTTGAATCCGCGGTGAGTACCCACTGTGCTGGGCCGCCCAGCAGGCCTCGAAAGCGGCGACAGCTTCACAGATCGCAGCCCCCCCCCCAGGGATGGCGAGGTCTAATTTGAATCCGCGGTGCGTACCCACTGTGCTTCGAAGTGGCGACAGTTTCACAGATGTCTACCCACTGTGCTGGGCCCCCCAGCAGGCCTCGAAAGTGGCGACAGTTTCACAGATCGCAGCCCCCCAGGGATGGCGAGGTCTAATTTGAATCCGCGGTGAATGCCCACTGTGCCGGGCCCCCCCAGCAGGCCTCGAAAGTGGCGACAGTTTCACAGATCGCAGCCCCCCAGGGATGGCGAGGTCTAATTTGAATCCGCGGTGAGTACCACTGTGCTGGGCCCCCCAGCAGGCCTCGAAAGTGGCGTCAGTTTCACAGATCGCAGCCCCCCCAGGGATGGCGAGGTCTAATTTGAATCCGCGGTGGGTACCCACTGTGCTGGCCCCCCCAGCAGGCCCCGAAAGTGGCGACAGTTTCACAGATCGCAGCCCCCCAGGGATGGCGAGGTCAAAGGCAGGGGGGAAGAGAGGGACGGGAAGGAAGGACGGTTCGCGCGAGCAGTGCTCTATTCAAAACGAGAACCCAACGCAGGAGGGTTGGGAAACACTAAAAACCATGTTTGTCCAAACCCTCCTGCGTTGGGTACTCGTTTTGAATAGAGCACTGCGGTCTCCACCTTCCTTCCTTCCCGCCTCCTCCTCCTCTCTTCCCTCTTCCTCTCCTCTCTTGCTTCCCTTCTCCGCCTCTCTTCGCTCCTCATCTTCTCTCTTGCATCCCTTCTCCTCTCTTCGCTCCTCCTCTCCTGCTTCCTTTCTCCTCCTCTCTTCGCTCCTTCTCTTCTCTCTTGCCTTTTACGTCGTCCCTTTGGGGCTGCGATCTGTGAAACTGTCGCCACTTTCGAGGGCTGCTGGTGGGTCCAGCGGAGTGAGGCACCACGCAGATTCAGATTAGACCTCGCCATCCCTGGGGGGCTGCGATCTGCACCACTTTCGAGGGCTGCTGGTGGTTCCAGCGGAGTGAGGCACCACGCATATTCAGATTAGACTTCGCCATCCCTGGGGGGCTGCGATCTGCGAAACTGTCGTCACTTTCGAGGGCTGCTGGTGGGTCCAGCGGAGTGAGGCACCACGCAGATTCAGATTAGACCTCGACTTTCGAGGGCTGCTGGCGGGTCCAGCGGAGTGACGCACCACGCAGATTCAGATTAGACCTCGCCGTCCCTGGGGGGCTGCGATCTGCGAAACTGTAGTCACTTTCGAGGGCTGCTGGTGGGTCCAGCGGAGTGAGGCACCACGCAGATTCAGATTAGACCTCGCCGTCCCTGGGGGGCTGCGATCTGCGAAACTGCTGCGTTGCACTCGCCACATTCGAGGGCTGCTGGTGGGTCCAGCGGGAGTGAGGCACCACGCAGATTCAGATTAGACCTCGCCATCCCTGGGGGGCTGCGATCTGCGAAACTGTCGCCACATTCGAGGGCTGCTGGTGGGTCCAGTTGAGTGAGGCACCACGCAGTTTCAGATTAGACCTCGCCATCCCTGGGGGTCTGCGATCTGCGAAGCGGTCACCACTTTCGAGGGCTGCTGGTGGGTCCAGCGGAGTGAGGCACCACGCATATTCAGATTAGACATGGCGGAGAAAATTGCAGAAGTTCAGTTCCCGCACTGCAACGTGCAGGAAGGTGGCAGAGAAGCTTGCGAGAGAGCTAGGTCTCGCTCGCTTCTTGCACTCGATATAAGCATGTTTGATCCTGTGATCAGGCAGCAGGCATGCGTGGTTCGAGCTCCTGCAACAACGAAGCAGTCTCTTGCTTCCTCCAACCTCTTGTATCATCACCGCCCTAGTCCTCCTGTCACCCTATGCATTCACGCTGCTTCTGCTGCCGCGATGGCTCATCGCCCCTTCCTATCGGGTTCGTCAATCTCCTGTCCTTCGATCCAGCCCCCGCTATTGTTAACGAGCCTTGGGGCATATTCCTCGTCTTATCGGTTGCTGCCCTGAAAGACGTGCAACATTACGTATCACATGCAGCTTGCACTACACATCGCCGCGCATGCGCTGTCATTGATCCTGCTAATGTTTCCCTACTCCTCTTGCCACTTGATACCATTGGGTCGGGTACGTCGCAGGGTAATTTTCTGGGGGGGGGGGGGTGGGGGGGGGGGGGGGGGGGGGGGGGGGGCAGGAAAATTACCCTGCGACGTACCCAACCCAATGGCATCAAGTGGCAAGCGGAGTAGGGAAACATTAGCAGGAACCGTGACAGTGCACGCGCGGCGATTTGTAGTGCGACCTACATGGGATGCGTAATGTTGCACGACTCACAGAACAGCAATCGATAAGACGAGGAGTATGTCTCAAGGCTTGTTAAACAATAGCGGGGGCGGGGGCGAGGGGCAGGAGAAGGACGAACCCAGTAGGAAGGGGCGAGGAGCCATCGCAGCAGCAGCACCATGAATGCATAAGGTAACAGGAGGACTAGGGCGGCGATGATGAAAGAGGAGGGAGGAAGCAAGAGACTGTTTCGTTTTTGCAGGAGCTCGGTCAACGCATGCCTGCTGCCTGTCCACAGGATCATACCTGTTTATATCTAGTGCAGGAAGCGATCGAGACCTAGCTCGCGCGCCAGCTTCTCTGCCTCCTTCCTGCATGTTGCAGTGCGGGAACTGAACTTCCGCAGTTTCTCCGCAAGGTCTGCCGGTGGGCCGCGGGCAAGAAAGTCAAGGCCGGGGTCGCGCACCATCAGTAGGTTGTCTATCGTCGTCGCCCTGGACAGCATCACGTAGAGGTGCAGCCACAGAGCGTCCAGGTCGTTCGCATCCTTGCACCCTGCGTCAACAATGACTCCGCGGTGCATGGTGCGGCCCTGGCAGGCAGTGGACGTCAGGACCTCGGCGTGGGAGATGACGAAGCCAGCGCGCGTGACCTTGTACTTGCGGAAGTCGAACGGGCTCGAGCTCTGTGGCTCGATGAAGACGAGGCCCGCTGCGTTCGCAGCGTCGATGCTGTCATCGAGCTCCTTGAGCTTCTTTCCGCAGGGACCACCCTTGTACTTGTCCATGCGCACCCACACGCCGTACGGCAGGTACCGCAGGTACGCCCGACCTCCCTCGGCCTTCGCTCTCTCCACCACGCCCTCATCCTTCGGGTTGATGGCCGCGTGCACGACCTCGCCCTCGGCGTCCTTGACGAGCCCCTCGTCGAGGTCCAGGTGCTCCAGCAGGCGTATGCGCATGCCCACGTGCAGCGGCAGCATCCCGTGAATGCCGCCCGCGTCGCCCGGGTTGACGCGGTTGACCAGCTTCGCGGCCAGGTCCACTGGCAGCGAGGGCGAGGACATGTCGGCTGCCTGGACGAGGTAGAGCACCCGCCCGAGGGACGCGGCGCCCTTCCTCGCCCGCATCATCATCCACCGAGCCACGGTGTCCCAGAACCAGGCGATCATGTGTCCAGTCTGGAACCGCTCCTCGCCCAGTCGGGGTCGTTGGGCTTCATCTGAATGCGTCTCCAGGTCTCCGCGATCTTCTGAGGGACCTTGCCCTTCTTCGGCTTGCGCATGTAGTTCCTGAGATCGGCAAGATCGGGGTCCTTGAAGCGGTTGGTGGCCTGGAGCTCGAAGCACAGTTTCGTGTCGCAGCCCTCGAATGTGGCGTCAGTGTCGCAGATCGCAGCCCCCCAGGGATGGCGAGGTCTAATCTGAATCTGCGTGGTGCCTCACTCCGCTGGACCCACCCTCAGCCCTCGAATGTGGCGACAGTTTCGCAGATCGCAGCCCCCCAAGGATGGCGAGGTCTAGTCTGAATCTGCGTGGTGCCTCACTCCGCTGGACCCACCAGCAGCCCTCGGAAGTGGTGACAGTTTCGCAGACCGCAGCCCCCCAGGGATGGCGAGGTCCAATCTGAATCTGCGTGGCGCCTCACTCCGCTGGACCCATCAGCAGCCCTCGAAAGTGACGACAGTTTTGCAGATCGCAGCCCCCCAGGGGTGGCGAGGTCTAATCTGAATCTGCGTGGTGCCTCGCTCCGCTGGACCCACCAGCAACCTTCGAAAGTGACGACAATTTCGCAGATCGCAAACCCCCAGGGATGGCGAGGTCTAGTCTGAATCTGCGTGGTGCCTCACTTCGCTGGGCCCACCAGCAGCCCTCGAACGTCGATGTCTACTGAATCTGCGTGGTGCCTCACTCCGCTGGACCCACCAGCAGCCTTCGAAAGTGACGACAGTTTCGCAGATCGCAGCCCCCCAGGGATGGCGAGGTCTAATCTGAGTCCCCGTGGTGCCTCACTCCGCTGGACCCACCAGCAGCCCTCGAAAGTTGTGACAGTTTCGCAGATCGCAGCCCCCCAGTCATGGCGAGGTCTAATCTGAATCTGCGTGGTGCCTCACTCCGCTGGACCCACCAGCAGCCTTCGAAAGTCGAGGTCTAATCGGAATCTGCGTGGTGCCTCACTCCGCTGGACCCACCAGCAGCCCTCCAAAGTGACGACAGTTTCGCAGATCGCAGCCCCCCAGGGGTGGCGAGGTCTAATCTGAATCTGCGTGGTGCCTCACTCCGCTGGACCCACCAGCAGCCCTCGGAAGTGGTGACAGTTTCGCAGATCGCGGCCCCCCAGGGATGGCGAGGTCCAATCTGAATCTGCGTGGCGCCTCACTCCGCTGGACCCACCAGCAGCCCTCGAAAGTGGCGACAGTTTTACAGATCGCAGCCCCAAAGGGATGACGTAAAAGGCAAGAGAGAAGAGGAGGAGCGAAGAGAGGAGGAGAAGGGAAGCAAGAGAGGAGGAGCGAAGAGAGGAGAAGGGATGCAAGAGAGAAGAGGAGGAGCGAAGAGAGGCGGAGAAGGGAAGCAAGGGAGGAGAGGAAGAGGGAAGAGAGGAGGAGGAGGCGGGAAGGAAGGAAGGTGGAGACCGCAGTGCTCTATTCAAAACGAGTACCCAACGCAGGAGGGTTGGGAACAAGGGAAAACGACACTTACCCTGCGACGCACCCAACCCACGTGCATCAAATGGCAAGAGGAGTATGCCAACATCAGCAGGAACAACGACAGTGTAGACGCGGCGATTTGCTGTGCAAGCTACATGGGATGCGCATGCGTTGCACGATTCACAGGACGACGATCGAAAGAACGAGGCTTGATGCCCCAGGATCGAAGAAGAACGGGTACGGGAACGAGGGGTAGGAGAGGGATGGAATGGAGGGCGGGGGGGGGGGGCGAAAGGCCATCGCGGAAGCAGCAGCATGCATGGAGAAGGTGAGGCGGGGAATAGGACGACGATGAAAGTGGCGGGAGGAGACAGAAGACTGCCGCGTTTTTCAAGTGCGAGCTAAACCCGCAGCGCTGCCTGCGCCATGTCGTCGCAGAGTTCCACATGATAAAATTTGTTTAGAGTGCAAGGAACGAGCGAGGCGTAGCTCGCCCGCTAGCTTCTCCGCCTCCTTCCCGCACATTTCAGCGCGGGAGCTGAGCGCTCGCAGGCGCGCCGCCAGGTCTGCGGGCGGCCCGCGGGAAAGAAACTCAAGGCCGGGGTCGCGCATCATCAATCGGTTGTCCATCGTCCAAAGTTGCACTGGCGACGTACTGGTTGAACGCGGAGCGAGCAGCATCACGCGCGTGCCTGAACGCCACGCAGGTACAGTGCACGCGCGATTGGGATTTCAGGTCGATCACGCGCGTCTCCACCAGGCTTGGCAACACCACGCGACTGAGGATCTCACTGCGGTCTGCCATGCTGCTGTCCGCGAATGCAATGCGCTGCCTGCAAGTAAGGCGGCGGCGTCCACTTGTCTCAGAAGATGTTCCCGCGGGCCCGAAGGGCGACCGCCAGCTCGAGCCGCGGCGCCGGCAGGCCAGATAAGGATCATGCAACAGCAAAGACGATGACAGAGCAACGAGGTATCGGCGAGTGCATGACCGGCCTCCGTTTCCTGCACTTCTTTCCTGTAGTTCCCCTAGCTCATCGAGCTCAGCAGATGTTTCTGCGGGTCCGAAGGACGACCGCCAGCTCGAGTCGCAGCGCCACGTGGCACGAACCGCAGAGCAAGGGCACGCGAGCATTGCTCGTGGTCAGAATCTGAGTCCCCGTGGTGCCTCACTCCGCTGGCCACCCACCAGCAGCCCTCGAAAGTGGCGACAGTTTCACAGATCGCAGCCGCCCAGGGGTGGCGAGGTCTAATCTGAGTCCCCGTGGTGCCTCACTCCGCTGGACCCACCAGCAGCCTCGAAAGTGGCGACAGTTTCACACAGGGATGGCGAGGTCTAATCTGAGTCCCCGTGGTGCCTCACTCCGCTGGACCCACCAGCAACCCTCGAAAGTGGCGACAGTTTCACAGATCGCAGCCCCCCAGAGATGGCGAGGTCTAATCTGAGTCCCCGTGGTGCCTCACTCCGCTGGACCCACCAGCAGCCCTCGAAAGTGGCGACAGTTTCGCAGATCGCAGCCGCCCAGGGGTGGCGAGGTCTAATCTGAGTCCCCGTGGTGCTCACTCCGCTGGACCCACCAGCAGCCTTCGAAAGTGGTGACAGTTTCACAGATCGCAGCCCCCCCCCCGGAGATGGCGAGGTCTAATCTGAGTTCCCGTGGTGCCTCACTCCGCTGGACCCACCAGCAGCCCTCGAAAGTGGCGACACTTTCACAGATCGCAGCCCCCCCCCCAGGGATGGCGAGGTCTAATCTGAGTCCCCGTGGTGCCTCACTCCGCTGGACCCACCAGCAGCCCTCGAAAGTGGTGACAGTTCCGCAGATCGCAGCCCGCCAGGGATGACGTGAAAGGCAAGAGAAGAGAAGAGGAGGAGCGAAGAGAGGAGGAGAAGGCAAGCAAGAGAGGAGAGGAGGAGGGAAGAGAGGGGGGGGGCGGGAGGAGGACAGCGGAGACCGCAGTGCTCTATTCAAAACGAGTACCCAACGCAGGAAGGTTGGGATCAAAACGAGAACGACAAACACCGTTTAGGTTCAGCCTTGCGGCGGACCCCGCAGAGGGCAGCTGCAAACCACCAGCATCTGCCCAGGGCCACTCTTGGCCCCAGAGCGGTGTGCAGGCCGCTCTGGCTTCGGCAGCGCGGGCGTGCTCCCCGTGCACAAGGGACGGCCCGGGCCAGCCACGGTGATGAGCCTGACGTTCCCGCACCAGGCTCGGGATTGGGCTTCTTGCGGAAGGTCTCCTGCGGTCGAGCCCCTACTGTGCAGTCGGCCTTGATTAGTCGGTCGACCCTGCCAAGTCAAGGGTAATCTTGTGTCTTTTCTTTAGAGACCCGTGCCTTTTAAATTCCTATGGCAGTGTAGCCGTCGGAAGAGTCTCGTGTCCTCTCGCGTGTCCAACATTCGGAGGAGGGCCCGTGTGGTGAGTCAGTGGGGATGCGGGAAAACCGCACGGTTTCGGGACCCGTACCGTTCTCCCAGCCAGAGAGTCAAAATCCATCCGCCGCCGCCGCCGCCTCCTCCTCCTCCTCCTCCTCCTCCGCCCTCCCTTGTGGAGCAGGGGTGGAGGGCCATGGTGAGGGGGGAGGCGGCCGGAGCATCCAGATCGGGGCTGGATCGGGCTGGCGGTGGGCGCGCCGAGTACCATCCTCTCCCGCTTCGACATGATCTTCCTCGTCAGGACGCCGCCGGGAGGAGGAGGAGGAGGAGGAGGAGGAGGACGAGTAGGAGGAGGAGGAAGAGGAGGAGGAGGAGGAGGAGGAGGAGGAGGACGAGTAGGAGAGGGAGATGAGGAGGAGGAGGAGGAGGATGAGGAGGAGGAGGAGGAGGACAATCATGAGGAGGAGGAGGAGGAGGACGATGAGGAGGAGGAGGAGGAGGAGGAGGAGGAGAAGCAGGAGGAGGAGGAGGAGGAGGAACGGCTTGTGCCCACGATGGACAGGCGCCCCATGGGCTCCGAAGAAGGAGGATGATGGGTCAGGGGGGAGGAGGGGAGAAGAAGGGTTTGAGGGTGGAAGAGGAGAAGGGGCAGGAGGATGATGATGAGTGAGAAGATTATGAGACGGTGGTGGATGAGGAGGAGGGGTGGTTGGAATAAGCAGTCAGAGGTGGAACAGGTGGGGAAACGGTGTGGGCAGAAGGGTCAGGGCTCGCTGCGCGCGCGCGCGTTCGCGCGCCCGCCCTCGCCCCATGGTCGCTCCTAGGTAGGCCGGAAAATCAGCGCCCCCCCCCCCACGTACACCTGGCACGAGGTGCAAGGACACCCCTGGAGTTGGAGGGATACCCTGCGTTCTTCGTGTTTGGACTCTCCACCTTCGACTGCTCTTCGTTTTGGGTATCGCCACGGGGCCTTGGGGCTTTCGGCGAGGAGGCTCGTGCTTTTGACGCAGTCGTCCTGTGGCCATGCCTCGACTGCACAGAGGGCCCCAGGGCGGTGGCCGGGAGCTCTCGTGCGAGGCGCAGCTGCTCGAGAGCACTCCAAGGCGCGAGAGAGTACCCGGAAGCGGGCGACCCGCTCTCGCCGCTGCACCCCGTTCAACCAGGGTCCCCTGGCATCGCTCGGACGTGTGCCATTTTTTTCTCGGCGAGGACCCTGGAGGACCATCCTGGATCATCGAGCAAACAAAAACATGCACGAAACCGAAGAATGCACAGGGAATGGACGTCCGAGCGATGGCAAGGTCCAGGACAGGGAGGAGCCAGCCCGCGGGGGGAAGCGCCGGCCCCCTAGACTCGCCCGTCCGTCGCCAGTCGGGGCCCTGGGCCCTCCGGCCCCCCGCCGAGAGACGTGCGGCTCCAGCATCGAGGGCTTCTCGCCGATCTGTCGGCGATTCATCACCGCCGACTCCAAGCCGATGTTGCCCCCCCAAAACCCGGGCCGGACGAGAGGGAGGGATTCGTCCAGGCCTCCCAAGTGGGGTCCGAGCAGGTGGGGTCGGAGGATCGCGCCGCATCGGCGATGGATCGGCGATGCGGCTCGATGTGGAGCCGATTTTCTCGACGCCGACTTCGCCAGTGCATCGCCGATGTTGCCGGTGCATCGCCGGTGCATCGCTGGTGCATCGCCGATGCATCGGCGATGCGGCGCGAGCCTCCGACCACATCTACTCCGACCCCATCTCGGAGGCCTCTAGTTTGAAGAGGATGAGTTTGGAACATGTGCTGCATGCAGCTGGTTTCGGCCCTGCCGCCGCGCCTCTCCTCGCCGCGGGGAGGCTCCAGGAAAGCAGCTACTCGAGCGGATTCGATAACCCCCCTGTACGACCCCCCCTTTTGCGCCCGAACCGATGAGCCAGCCCCCCCGATCTTTCCCCCGCACTTTTCCCCCTCACTTTTCAGAGGAGCATGAAATATTGAGATTGATCGTTTTCAGGGTTTCCAGGTTTTCCTGTTCTCCCGCGCGGGCTCCAGAGACAAATGGTCGAGCGCATTCCGTTGCGCAGGTTTTTTGCGTGATGTGCGCGATCAATTTTTCGCGCATCGGAGCGCCCTCGGAGATTCCAAGCTGCATTCTGTTTTGCTCTTGGGGGGTCCGCGGGACGGTGCGCCACCGTCCCCCCTGCGCTCGGCAACGAAAAGGGGGATCAGCAAGTGCCAAATAGCCCCCCTACGGGCGACCACTCGATTGCGAATGGGTGACCGACCAGCGTCGCCAGGCAAAGTAGACAATTTCTCGACGCAAAGTGTACCCCGCGCGAAAACTATTAGAAATCGGGGAATCCCCGGAACGTATCAATAGCACGCTGTGCCACTATGTTCTGCTCGTCCCAATTTTGGGGCCAGGGGCAGGCGTTCTGGATTCGCTCTTTCAGCTATGCGTAGAGAGCGGGCCTTCGCAAGGGTGACTGGCTTCGGGGGGCGCGCGGGGGAGGGGCAGGCCACAAAGAGCACGCGGACGGCCGCTGACGCACCGCGCGCAGCCAGGCGGCCAGCCGCGCTCAGATACAGTCGATACGTTGAAAAAGGACCATTTCGGGCTCAGGAGGAGTTCTGTTTTTCGGGCCGTTCTTGTCACGGCCCGAGAAGCAGATCTCCTTCAGGTCTTGGCCGCTCCATCAGGTCCTGGCCATAGAAGCGCCTTCCTTCCTGACTCAGCGTTCCTCATGGCGGCGCGATGGCTGCATCGCTCCCCCCCCTTACTCAGGCCCGGGGGCGGGCTTACTTCAGTGGGAGCCCATGCAATGAAATAAACTGCTTGCTTGGAGGGTTTCGATGGTGTTGCTGTGGAAAGCGTGACGCTCCCATACCAACAACAATCAATGGACGTCCTGGGGTCTCAGGGCTGGGTTTTTTGTGGGATGTTTCTTGTGGTCGAGTTCCTACTCTAGACATCGTCCTTTCGGCCACGCGCGCAGTGAGTGGGCGGGCCTCCGCCAGAGTGGCCCCCTGGTGCCCGGCTCCGGGGCGGGCGGCGGCAGGTTTCCTAGACCTCGTTTTTTCGGCCGCGCGCAGTGGGCGGGCCTCCGCCGCAAAAGTCACCCGGTCCCCGGCTTCGGACGGGGCTGGGACGAGGACGAATCCGTTCCAGAGCATTCCCGAACGCGCTGAGAAGGCCGCGGCGCCCAAGACATGTTCCAGAATCGGTGGGTTTCAGATGTTTTGTTTCCTTTCGCTTCGCGGGGTGCACGTCCGGAGCACGTACAGTCATGTCGTCGCGGGGCCTCTTGGGAGCCTCTTCGGGGCCTCCTGGAGGCCTCCTGTGAGTTTTTTTTTGCATTTTGGGGACTTTTTGGGGGCCCTTCCCCCCTCCCTCTTTTGCATACACCCTCCCCATCTTCCCTTCCAGCGCCGGCTCTAATCATGGGTGCCGCAGTGACAAATTTCCACCTGGCTGGCGCTGCGCCGCACTTCGCCCAGGGGGGGGAATAACATTACACTCCAGTCGCTGTGTGACCTTTGGGGGGCTTTTTGAAGGCCTTTTGGAAGCTTCTGGGGGACTTTTTGGAGGCTTCTTGGGGGCCTCTTGGGTCCTCTTGGGGGCGTCTTGGGCCGTCTTGGTGTTTTTGCGCCGTTTCGCCCCGTCGGTTGCTGTCTTGGGGGCCTCTCGCGGCCGCAATGGAGCCCTCTTGGGGTCCTCTTGGGCCGTTTTCGCGGCCTCTTGGAGCGTTTTGGGGCCTTCTTTGGGCCGTTTTGGGGCCCTCTTGGGCCGTCTTGGGGCCCTCTTGGGGTTTTTTGGGTTGTTTTGGTGCGATTCTGGAAGCTGCTTAGGCCGTCATGGGTTTTTGAGTCGAAAATGGCGAGACCGCTACAATATTACAAAAACCGTAGGCAAATCAATGATTTCGGCCTCTGGAGGCGCAGTTGTGGGCGCTGTTGGGGCCCTCTTAGGCCGTCATTGGGCCTTTTGGGGCCCTCTTGGGGCCGTCTTGGGGTCCTCATGGGCCCCCGTTGGGAATATCTTGGGCCGTTTTGGGGCCATGGTGGACCATCTTGCGGCCTTCTTGGAGTCCCCAGAGGCCCAAGACGCCGAAATTGTTAATTTTTGTCATAGGTTGTTGTAGGTTTGGGGCCCCTGAAGGAGGGCCGACCATTTTGGTACGGCGCTGTGGCGCGGCCCCCAGGGGGGTTACGGGGGGAGACAGAATAATGTAACACAAAACAATATGTTGAAATTATGGAATGGTTGGATACATTGGATACGTTGCATTAGGGCGTTCGCCGAAAAACGCTGCCGTTCAGCACGTCACCTCCGGACGTGGATTTTCGGGCTTACGCCGCACCGCCGACCCCTTGGGCGTGTAGTGGGCGCACCCCGCCGCCGCGGTTTAGTTGCACGTTTGACGCCGTTTGGATGGCTGATGGGGTTGCGAGGGGGGCGCGTCGGAAGCGTCATGGAGGCAGTGTTTGAACGTGTTGGAGCCTGCTGGCGGCGTCTGGGGGCTTTTGGGGGGTCCATCGTGCGCTCTCTGGGAGCCTCCTGGAAGTTTTTTGGGGAACTCTTGGGGCATCTTGGGGGCGGAAAGTGGAAATGCCCGTTCGGGCTCTCTGGGCCTCCCTTTGGTGCCGTCCTCGGGGCCTCTTTGGCTGTCTTGGAGCTTTTGGGGCCGTTTTGGGTTCCTCGCGGCGCTCGCGTGTCGTCTTGGAGCCCTTTTGAGGGCCTCTCGGTCCGGTTTGGGTTGACCTTGAATGCCGTTTCGACCCGGGTGGGCCTCTGAGAGCACAAGTTTCTGCTTTGGGTTGCGCTCGCGCATGCTGGCGCGCGTGAGCTTTGAATGGGATGTGCGCCACGCGCACACTTGCACGCGCGATTGTTTGCGCGCTGGTGGAAACACTTGCGTCATTGTACTACACGCAGTTGACGCAGGATGTTCCTTTCTCCTCTCCGCTGCTCTCCCAACCCCGTAGCCAGTGGTGACGGGGAGTCGTCGAGGTGTGCTGGAACGCTTTTTTGGGGGCGCGCCCTCGGCCCGCTAAAGGCGGGTAGACTCCCATGCGTACCCCGTGCTGCGTGGTTGGTCCTGTCTTACTTTCCTAGCCGAGGTGGGCCCGCTTGGGGAGCGCAGGGGCTGGAAAAGGTGATCCGAGATTTCCTCACACGTCTGTCCCCAAGTCCCGCCACTGTCGGAGCGGGCGGGATTCGGGACGGTGTGTGCGTGTATGCGTGGGCGTGAATACCGCTCATGTCCTTTTTCAATCCATCATTCCTTTTATTCTCTCTCCTCAGGTATTGGACATCGGGAG